CATATCCTTTGGCCAAATATTTAGTTTCCAGATTTTCTCCTCTACTTGCTAACAATATTCACACTGTAAAAAATTCTGTTGAAGTCATTGATAAACTTAAAAATATTTCCCCACTTCGTTCCATTATGGTTTCATTTGATGTCAAATTACTTAATTATTTGAGACTTAATTACTTAATTATTTGAGTTATTTAAATGAACTTAATTATTTGAGAGCAGTTGCGATTGACCGTGGATTTTCTCCCGTGATTATTGATAAAGCCGTCAAAAAATTTTCAGATTCCCATCAAAGAAGACATTCCACTATTAGAAATAATATTAATGACCTTGTCATGCTTCCATTTTATCCTTCTGTTAGCTATAAAATTGCACGGATTCTCCAGAAATTCAATTTTCAAGTCGGTTTCTCCCCTATTAATAAAATTCACCCTTTGATTCTAAAAGATTGCGTTTCTGTCTTGAATTCTTGGGGAATTTATAGTATATCATGTCAGTGTGGTTTAAGATATATTGGCCAAACAAAAAGAGCGTTGAAGTTTCGTATCAAGGAACATGAATCTTATGTCAAAAAAGGCGAAATTAACAAGTCTTCAATAGCGTATCATAGCTGGACTTTTAACCATAATTTTGATTTTGGGTCTGCAAAAATCATCCAAAAGGCTTCTTCCATAGGCGAATTGGATTTTCTTGAGGCTTTTCACATTCACAAAGATTTAGAAAGTTTAGTTAATGATTTGAAGTCCAATCCAGTCCTTCCTAATGCCTTTAAAATTCTACTATCTTAATTCAATTATTTTTGCCGATAGATGGCGTTACCTCCTCGCGCTTGGTACTACCAGAGGGTATAAAAATCCGTTCAGTGGTTGCTTTCCATTATTTGAAGTTCAGATTTTGAGCGTAATGTGCATTTGCCCCTCGCTCCCTATTTTAATTTCGCTAATATTTCTTTATGCTGGATCAGACAGCCTGGCTCAGTAAAAGTAGGCGGCCAGTGCAACTCTGATTAAAAATCTAGTTATAACCACGTGCAGTGCTGATAAGTACTACGTGTTTCTGTGACTCCTTCTCCTATTTTCTTCTTTCTATGTATTTCTTTCTCCTGATGAGGAGGGACCTTTAGCTGCCCTCGAAATCGATTGAGTGCTTCATTATACCTACGCTAAATATAAGGTTGTTTTTTACGATTTTGATATGGCAACCTATTCTCCTTACCCTTCCATTATGCCGGAACGGAAAAAAAAAAAAGAAAGTAAACTCTTTCCTATCTTTTACATTGTAGGTGAGCGGAAAAAAAAGCCACTTCGTTCTTACTTTCAAATAATTTTAACAAAGTGCGTAAACCACATTTTCGTTATTATCGCTTTCAACAAATATGCCAAATTTCAAAATGCGCCAATATATAAATTCACGTATATCTTCAGAAATTGTAAATAAAAATTTTTTGCAGATATGCTTAAAAATACATCTACTTTTAAGATGACTGTAAAACTTTTATAGGTTATAATATATATTTTTTTCCGAAAAATTTAGAAAAATTATTTAAAAATACAAATTTAAAAAAAAATTTTTTAAAAAGTCGGTGAATTTTATTTGGAATGAATCTAAATTTCGAAATGTGAAAGGAAGAATCAAATAAGTATAATAAAAAAAGAGATATTAATGAATAGATACCAAATTCAATTAACATTGAGCTAAATTTTTTAGAGCTAATTTTTTAAAAACTACTCGGGCGATTTTTACAAAACTTGGTAGTTTGACGTAATTTGAGTGGTAGAATCGAAATATGGAAAAAAATTGGCATGTCATTTCAGAAAAAGTCCGATTTTATGTCAAAATACCTATGTTAGAACAATGGTATATATTAATCTAATACATATCCTAAGTCGCGCTTACGAGACATGAAAAACAAAAGTTGAATTTTGTCAATCGGCTCACTAAAACGGGAGATATAGAACTGTCCCATTTTTTTTTTTTTTTTTTTTTTTTTTTTCTTCAATATACATGTTCTATAGCGTACTGTAGAGTACTTACAAGTACTGAAAGACATTGCTTGCTGAAAATCTCGGTCAAAGTAAGCTGTTTGACTGTCTTCATCCGTTTTCAGGAAGGCAGGTCGCGCATTAGCTTGACTATGAGAAGTTGCATGTGGTCACACACGGGCTGACGCTCCTGCCACTTCGACACAGCTTGAAGGCCGCCAATCGGTTGACTAGCTGATGGTCCCGTGTCTGCTTCAACTTCGACATTAAGGTCATCTTCTCTCGCACTTTCAACAAGTTCGTCATCATTTAGAATTTGAAACCCAGGGTCTGAAGAATCAGACACCATCCGTTCTGCTGTATCGTCAGCACTCACTTCTGAAAATCCCGGAATTTTTAAAAGAATGTTTCTTAATTTCTCAAGTGACACGTCTTCTTCTTCTCCTGTCTCTCCCCTTTCCTTTTCTTGAGTTTCTTTTCCCTGTTTCTCCTTTTCCTTCTCTTCTTCAGTTGATTCTGAAAGTGATTCGGATAATTGGAGCTGTACTGCATATATATATATACTGTGCAAAGCCTGAAAAACATGATGTAGAAACGACGTAGTCCAAACAGTTATTACGATTTTTTAGAATAAAGAGGGAGAATTACGGAGTTATCGCTAGTTTAAATTATAATTTTGATTTATAAATTTTTTATCTTACATGTCCCCCCTTCAAAGAGAAAAAGGCTGGGCGCAGAAAAGCCTTTTTAGAAAATTATAATTTTGATTTACATATATTTTTTTCCATATAAAAAGAAACATAATAGTAGGCTAAAAATTAAGAACAAAAAAAATTTTGAACCCTTCCAGCGCTATAGCTGTAGGTTTGAAGTAAAATAAACTTAAAGCATCTAAAGTAGATATTAAATTGGAATCAAAGCAAGGCAAATCCTCAGCAATATTAATAATTGTAACTGTATATATAAGATGTTTAACACAATAGCTAAACAAATCAAAATTAAAATAAGAATTCAGGTAGAACAAACTCGAAAAATAAAATGCGAAAGGGAAAATATACAAAATTATAAAAATTATGAATACTAATCTCCCTTTACTGAAATTCCAATTCAGAACTCGTCAGGGAAAAATTAATTAAAGCTTCAGAAAAGTCGATTAATATGTTTCGAAAACATGTTTCGTTCTCCTGGTTCATTTGAGATTAAAAAAAAGATCCAATTAAATTTTCAATTAAGACATTAAAATTCATATAAAACCGAAAAATCGTGTCTCAAATGTACGTGCCGGAGGACTTCATGAAATTTCGTGAAAAAATTACGTCTAAAGGCCACAAAAATTATAGAAGCTTCTAGAATGTCATCAAGTTGACGTGAAATCCTCAAATGTTGGCAAACCTTCTAGAAGGGTCTCTGTTCTAATCTCCTCTTCTATTCAGCTGTCTTCAAAGTTCAAACGTCGGACGATTGAGAATATCACGATATACAGCATAACTCATGAAATGAAACATACTAACAGAATTAGTAGGCACAAATGTGATTAAATGAAATTACACAATAAAACTGTTGCATAAACTGAAAAAAATAAATCCATATACACGCTATAGAGCACTGTAAAAAATAACGGAAACCAAAATACAATTAAATAAACACAAATATTTACATACATTTACAACAATAAGTATTATTGCCAACTAATGAAATTGTGAATTTTTATTTAGTGATTAAAAGTCAACTCAGAGTGAATTTCAATTCCAAATTTCCATTCTTTATTAATTCATCTGCGTAGCTCTCTCTTTGTCTTTTTGTCCCAGAAGGGTTATTAGTTTGAAAATGGGATTTTGCATCGGATAAACGGTGCATCCCTTTTCAAATTGGTGCTACCAAAATTATTGCACTATATTATTTTTAAAGAAATCAAATAATGACGAAACTTTACGTTACCTTGCACAAAAAAAAGTGGAGACAGTTCTATATATCTCTTCTACTGAACCGATTGTCGAAATTTAAGTAGCATTTTCCATGTCTCGAAAGCGTAACTTGGGATATGTATTATATTTATATATAGCATTGCTCTAAAATAGGTATTTTGACACAAAATCGTAGTTTTCTGAACGAGAGTGCCAGGAAAACATCCCCCAAAATAGGACGCTGTCATCTCCAGCCCCTGTTCTGTCAGTCAAAGTTTCCTGGTGGTATCATTCCAATTTCTTGACAGGTACGTCACCTTTTATCGACAGTACAGATCGAGAGTTATCTGAATGGGCAACGTTTCGCTATTTCTCGGCAAACTATTGTACCATCTATCATAGTGCGAAAATTACATTCGCTTTCACCAATGAATCGTCGAGACAACTCATGCTGTAAAATGCATCGGCTGTGCAGCCTCATGCGCAGCAAAATTGGCTACACTATTGCCATGGGCACACTTCTTGAAACTTCTTGATTGATTTTCATGATGAGGCAATTTACGGTTGCCCAGTGATGTGTCTCCAGTTTTGATGACATCGCTTACTTCTACCATTAATAACTCATGCAATTGTGCCATTGGGCCCATAATCTCAGTTTAGACATAAATTAACAGTTCAAACACACGCACTTTTCTAGATGTTCCCAGCGGACATTTGATGATCGGTAATTTGGATAAATCGCTGCCTTTCCTTATCACGTCTGCTATTTCTTGGGCACACAACCTCCATCGACCAGTATAGTATACTCACAAGGATTTGAATTTGGCATGTATCTTAAGTGGTTAATCACTTATAACGTCAGACGCAGTTGATGGTTTTAAAAATGTTACTCTATCCTGCATATAACATTAGAACATCTTTGATCAAAGACGCATTCATATATAGCTCTAGAATGTCTTTGATTAACCATGAACTTTTGTAAGCAGGATTAGAAGGTTTTTTTTTTAACCTATGTTAGATGCATTAATACATGTAGAATGACAAATGGTGAATACATTTCTGTTTTAATTCCCTTAAACATTTTGGAAATTTACCTAACATCCACTTATTTTTTTCAGGTTTATTAAATCTTCTACATGGAACTCGATCGTCAAAGGTCTCGCCAAAAAAGTGCGCCAGATGGTAATAATGAGACTCAGTACCATTTCCCCGACACTACAGACGCAAGACGACAGAAAGTAGCCAAACAGATTAGGCGACGGAAGACTCTGGACGAAACGGACACTAAGGGAAATACGAACGGAAGAAGCTTATCTATCGACAAAGGAGTTCTTAAGTTTGATAGCAAAGAATCAGAAGCCAAAAAATTCAACGAACAATACCAGAGGCGGCATAGTAAGTACCAGCTCTCTATTTTTTAATCTTCATGCTTTTTATTTCTTACAGTAAAGGGGGAAGTTGATGAAATGATTGGTAAGTTTCTCACAGGTGGCTTAGATCTCTGAAAACTTTTATGCTGTTTATTCAGTGTGTACGATCCGTTGTTAAAAATAGTGGACTGTAAATTGACTTGATATTATTACTTCAGTATAGAACCCAAAAAACCTCAGAATCATAACGTTGACCGAAACTTCTTTATTGACTTTCAAAGTAAGTTAGTTGAGGAACGGCGAAGACCACACTGCCAACTCCGAACTCAGTAGCGGCTTACCAACACAAACTCAGAAGAACCTCTGCTTAGTTGAAACTCCAGTAATTCACAGCAACCTGAAAGCTCTAAACGCGAGCTTTAAAAACCTAACAAATTTGCGTCTGCGCCGCTCCTCGGTACAAAGAAAGAAATACAATTTGCATAACATCGAACATACACCCCAGCCTTGAAGTCCCAAGGGGGTTCAAACAATAAATTTAAACTGTTGAACTGCATAAACCTGAAAAATAAAAATTAAAGTCTCTAAATCAGGAATTAAATGGCAAAGCGCATAGCTTTGCTATAGGTCGTTTTATTTCACCATTAGACGTGCGTAAACTCACCACTCGAACTTTCTCATCCAGACCAGGATACACCAGGATACAATAATTCTACCTAATTTCCAACGTAGCGGAGGTAGATTTTCGTTCTTAATAAGAACCATATCACCAATCTTCAGGTCTTGTTGTAACGTGCACCACTTGGGTCTCTGCTGCAATCTAGATAAATACTCACTGCTCCAACGATTCCAGAAATGTTGAAATAACCTTTGCACGTTCCTCCAACGGTCACTGCAGCTCATGGTTTCTTGAATTTGGTTAGATTCTGGAATAGCGCTTAAAGCCGCTCCGGTTAAAAAGTGTCCTGGTGTTATCGCCTCCAAGTCGCTACAATCACTTGAAGCTGGTACCAAAGGCCTAGAATTAAGACAGGATTCAATTTGGGTTATTAATGTCAAAAATTCCTCGTATGTTAAAATAAGTGTTCCTAAACATCTTTTTAAGTGATGTTTCATAGACTTGATACCCGCTTCCCAAAGCCCTCCAAAATGAGGGGCAGAGGGAGGATTAAATAACCATTTAATATTTTCTGAAGAAATATAACCCTGTAGCTGTTCACGTTGAATAGAAAAGGCTTTCCTTAATTCTTTATTAGCTCCTATAAAATTCGTTGCACAATCACTGTGAATTTCACACGGTTTGCCTCTACGAGCTATAAACCGCTTAAGTGTCGCGAGGAATGATTTTGTTGAAAGATCTCCAACTAATTCTAAGTGTATTGCTCTTGTAGTAAAACAAATAAATAGACATACGTAACACTTAAAGATTTTTGACTCCTCTACCCGGACGATATTTTACGTTAAATGGTCCTGCTAAATCAATCCCTACACGAGAAAAAGCTCTACTTTGAGTAACTCTTGAAGCGGGTAAATCTGCCATTAGCTGAGTTGCAGTTTGCGCTCTAACTCTACGGCAGATAACACATTGGTTTATACACTTTCTTATAATATCTCTAGCATTCACAATCCAAAATCTATGTCGTATGACAGAAGTGAGTAGCGTACCTGCGTGAAGATACGTGTCATGATAATGCTTAATAATTAAACGCGTAAATATTGTGATTCTTAGGTAAAATCATAGGATGTTTCTGATTATTTGAAACTGTAGAGTTTCTGAGCCTTCCGCCTACACGCATTACTCCCGCGGAATCCAGAAAGGACTTAAAGACAGTAATTTACTTGATGTCTTCAAGGGTTTTACCAGATTCTAAACAGAATAATTCTTCTGGAAATTCGGCTCTTTGCACAATCCTAACAATCATAGAAGTAACTTCACAGAATTCTTCAGTAGATAAATAACCCTTTATACGCTCTGTAGGTAACTTACTACAATTATTTCTAAATCTTAAACACCACGCTAACACTCGACATAACTTTAACCATGATGAAAATCTTGAAAACACACTAGGCTCTTCAAATTTGGAAACATTTGAACTGAAACTCTTTTTCAATTCCTTCAACATAACTTCAACCCATAACTTCACCTCTAATTCTACACTTGAATTTTGCTGTACATGAATTAGGGATTCGTTTAACCACTGCGGTCCCTTCATCCATAACCCACATTGTAAGAATTCTGATGGAATAAAACCTCTGGTCCCACAGTCTGCAGGATTTTCTTTCCCAGCAACATAATTCCATTGAATACCTGGAACAGCTTCCTGGATTTTTGCAACTCGATTTGCCACAAAAGGTAGCCAACGGCGAGGTTCGGACGAGACCCATGCCAATGTAACCCGCGAGTCGGTCCATGCGTAAATATTGTTAATAGGCAGTTCTATGCATAATAATACTGCATGTAAGAGGTTGGTTAAAAGTAACGCAGCACACAACTCTAGTCTCGGAAGAGACTGGGTTTTTAAGGGGCGCTACTCTGGTTTTCGATGTCAGAAGGCTGACTTTGACTGACGAATCAAGGTTGATTGTTACGGAGATAGATGACTGCACAATAAGCCTTTTCTGAAGCGTCGCAGAAAGCATGGATTTCTATAACTACTGCCTTCGGACTCAAGACATACCTCGGAAATTGTAAGCTTGAAAGTAAGGGCAATTCTAGATAGAAACGCTTCCATTTTCTACTTATTCTCTTATCAACGAGTTCATCCCAACCCAGCTGTAAGTTCCATAACTCTTGTAATAATATTTTCGCGTATATTATTGTTGGCGCTAACCATCCCATTGGATCAAAGATTTTGGCTACTTCTGATAAAATAGTCCTCTTAGTAAACTCTTTATCACTTATGCATACCGAAAAATGAAACGTATCACTAGAGTTGTTCCAATTAATTCCCAATACTTTTACTTTCTTGTCACTGTTTATTTCAAGAGAAATACTGGATTCTCGTAAGCACTCGGGAATATTCTCTAAAATAGCTGAACTGTTTGAAATCCACTTCCTTAAGCGAAATCCACCCCTTTTCATCATTTCATTCAACTGCTGAACTAGAACATTCGCTTCCTCTTCACTTTGTGCCCCTGAAAGCAAATCATCAACATAAAAATCACGAAGGGCAATTTTTGATGCTAAAGGAAATCTCACTTGTTCATCTAATGCAAGTTGTTTCATTACTCTAGTAGACAAATATGGCGCACAGGCAGTCCCATATGTAACTGTCACTAATCTAAATGTACTCAAGGGCTCACTAGGACTATCCCTCCAAAGCATTCGTTGCCAATTTGTATCTTCTGGGTGGACACGAATTTGTCTGAACATCTTCTCTACATCGGCACATACTGCAATTTTGTGAGTTCTAAACCGTAGAAGAATTGGAAACAGCTCTTGCTGAACTCTTGGCCCAACCATCAAAATATCATTCAATGAAAGACCCGATGTCGTTTTAGCTGAAGCATCGAAAACAACTCTCAGTTTAGTCGTAGTAGTACTTGATTCCTTTAATACGGCATGATGAGGCATGTAATACGTAGAGTCAATAAGAATCTCTCCCTCAGGCACTCCCTCCATATGTCTCAGCTCAAGGTATTCCCTCATGAAATCCTTATACTGTTCATATATCTGAGGCCTTTTTAGAAGTGAATTTTCTAAAGATTGGAATCTACGCATAGCTAATTGTCTGGAATCTCCAAGCTGAGAAGGCGGAGAGTGAAACGGTAATTTCACAGTATATACCCCACTTTCCTCTCTCGTATATGTAGATTTGAAAGTAATCTTCACATGCTCTCTCCGATTTAGTAAGCATGTCAAACGTAGGTACAGCATCCAATTTCCAAAAGTCAGACAGCATCTGATCAGTTTCCACTTGTATATTATTAACATAGATAGTAGGATTAATTTCTGTTGAATTATTCACACTACCTGAAATAATCCATCCTAGTTCAGAACGAGAAGCTACCGGTTTACCTTCTTCGCATTTAATTATTTCTCCCTTTAAAAGAGGTAAGGCAATATCTACGCCTAAAAGTATATCAACAGGCCCACTTTTGTAAAATGTTGGATCTGCTAACATTAAATCATTATATTCCTCAACGTACTTCTTATCCAATGTAAAATGCGGCAAAGTTCCAATAATTCTATTGATGATAAATACTGGTGTTTTTAAATGACACTTTCGCCGGAAAATGCGGAACGAAGTTTATTTCCGTAATTCCATTAGTTTTCGTATCCAAAGACCCTAAACATGAAATAAAAACTTTGGCATTTCTTCTTGCTAACCCTAGCCTTTGTACACAATCTTCTGAAATCAGGCTTGCTTGACTGCCAGGGTCAAGGAGGGCTCTACACAATTGGTATTCACCCGATGAATCTAACACTTTAATAACAGCCGTACATAATAAAACTTCACTCTGAAAATTAAAGTCTGAAACACAAGATTTAATTACTGGACTAGAACTTGCGATATTCTCCCCTGACCCAGCCGATTGAGCGCGAGGTTCTGGCCCAGGGAAAAATGGCTTAGCCGTCACTGATAATTCATTCGAACTGTTCGTAACTCCTTTACGTGCCTTTGGTTCATTTTGAACTCTTTCGAAATGCAGTAGTGTGTGATGATTTTTAAAGCACTTTTTACATTTATGTGTACTTCTACACTCGAAAGCTTTATGGATTTGAAACCAAACAATTAAAACAAACATTATTTCTCTTGACAAAATTAACGCGTTCCTGAACATTCAGATTTAAAAACTTATTACATTTAAAAACTGAATGACCGGCTTTACAATACGTACACTGCGCGCGAATCTCTGAAGCCAATGAAGTTAATTTGTCTTTTGTAACTTGTTTTTTTAACACCTTGCGTTTTACCTGCTTGCAAGGTTCTGGCATGAGATTTCAAGAACTCTAGCAGATTATTAAGTGTTGGTATTTCCTCACTCTT